TCAGTACTCTTGAACAGAAAGAAGACCAATGTGACTGGAGTGTAGTGGGTGAGGGGGAGAGAGGGAGGAGCTGAAGAAGGAAAGGAAGGCAAGGCCTAGATCGCCAGGGGCTTTGCAAGCCCCTGGACTTAAAGGACTTATAAAACTCTGGGTTTTATTGCAAGCACAGTGAGAAGCCAATGGAGAGCTGTGGCATGGCTTACACTTTAAATCTTCCCTCTGTCATCACCTCATCTCACCCCCAGGGCCCCGGTGTCCTGGTTTCGGGACGGGGAGACAAGGCTGCTCCAGGGACCTGACTCTGGGCTAGGGCATGAACTGGTCTTGGCCCGGGCAGACAGCACTGACGAAGGCACCTACATCTGCCGGACCCTGGATGGCGTACTTGGGGGCATTGTGACACTACAGCTGGGCTGTGAGTTGGGGAGGGAGTATTGGGTGGCAGTGGTGAGGCAAGGGGCTCCTGAGGAAGTCCAGGCCCTGAATAAGCCCTCTAGGATGGGAAGGACCTGGGACTTCTCAGAGTCCAGGTGCACTTTCTGCCTCTAGACCCCCCAGCCCGCCCTGTTGTCTCCTGCCAAGCAGCTGACTATGAGAACTTCTCCTGCACTTGGAGTCCCAGTCAGGTCAGCGGTTTACCCACCCGCTACCTCACCTCCTACAGGTGTGTGCATGATTGGGTGTGTATGCCTATACATTTGGGTGTGTAGGCACAACGGGGGTATGGGAGGCAGTGAAGGAGGTCCTGAGGAAGGCCTTGGAGAGGGGAAGGATCCTCTTTTCCTTCCTGACCTCAGGTGGCCCCCTCCCTGCCAGGAAGAAGACCGTACCAGGAGCTGATGGCCTGAGGTAGGACACAAGGCAGAGGATGGGGGTTCCAGCTAGATCCCACAATGAGCATTTCCAAAGCCCGAGACCACATCCTCCCTCCCAGGAGGAGTCCCTCCACAGGACCCTGGCCATGCCCCCAGGATCCCCCGGGAGCTGCCCGCTGTGTAGTCCATGGGGCCGAGTTCTGGAGCCAGTACCGAATAAATGTGACTGAGGTGAACCCCCTGGGGGCCAGCACACGCCTGCTGGACGTGAGCTTGCAGAGCATCTGTGAGTACCTACCTACCTGTTCCTACTGCTCCCTCAGAGACCCCGAATGGACTCCAGGGTTCAGATATCCCAACACAGAACCTCCACCTGCCAAACAGTTCCCTTCTGACATAGACCTCATTTTAGCACATAGGTAGCTACCGTGGAGACTAAGAAGCCAAAGAGATCAGAGCCTAGGAGGCAGGGTTACCTCAGCCTCTGGAGGCTGCTGCCACTACCCCTGCCCGGGTGCCTAGCCCACAAGTCCTTCCTGGGTGCATACCCCACAAATCCTTCCTGGGTGCCTAGCTCCAGAGCTGCCCCTGCTTCTAGGGCCTGTGCTGAAGGCAGCCGTGTCTCATGTCCTTCCTGCCCAGTGTAAGCCCTTGCTGGCCCCTCTTTCCTTTTGATCGGTATGTGGGAGGGGGGAACTAAAGCTCTAGCTAAGGGCTAGAGAGGGACAAGCAGACTCCATGCTGAGCACAGAGCCCGATGTGGGCCCAATCCCACGACCCTGAGATCATGACCCGAGCTGAAACCAAGAGTGGGATGCCCAACCGGCTGAGCCACCCAGGCGCCCTAGCTCGTTTTATAATAAGGATGACAGACAAGTCCTGAGGATCCAAAGGATGATCCAAAGGATGATCAAGCTTAGGATTTCCCCAAACCCCTTGGAAGTGCCTCCCTCAGGTACCTTTAGGCATATACCCACCTTCCCTTGGGAGGTGGTGGGGAAGGGATGGGTACCTGTCGCCTGTCCTGACTTCGTGTCTCCACCACCCTCAGTGCGCCCTGACCCTCCCCAAGGGCTTCGCGTCGAGTCGGTCCCTGGCTATCCCCGCCGCCTGCATGCCAGCTGGACGTACCCTGCCTCCTGGCCCCGCCAGCCCCACTTTCTGCTCAAGTTCCGACTGCAGTACCGTCCAGTGCAGCATCCAGCCTGGTCCACGGTGAGGCCTGGAATGTGTCCCAGTCTGGGGCTATGGCTTCTGCCTCTGGTTTCATGTTCCTGGTTATTCTGCCTGGCTTTCTGGCACACTGGCAGGTCACCAAAGCCCTGTCACCTCCTCCAGTAGAGTGCTCTCCACGGGCGAGTCTTTGTGCTGGGTGCTGGGGTTTGCAGCAGGGCCTGGTAGGCGTAGCCTCTGCCCTGTGGGGCTGTAACTCTGACGTCAGCCCCTCTGTGGGAAGACAGGAGTAGCTTTTTACAAATGACTTTTCTAGGAAAAGGAGTGCCTTTCACCCAGAGGCACATTCTCACGTAAACATTCTATACCCAGAAGAGGATAGTAGTGAATTTCTACCTCTGAAGATGTCAAAGATTGGCTAGCATCAAGTCTGGGAAGCAGCTGCCTCAGATAACGCCCGATATTCATTGAGCACCACCTGTCTGCCAGGCATGGTCCTACACATTTTACATGCATTATCTTATTCAGGTATAGTCACCTCTATTTTACAAATGAAGAGAGCAAGGCACAGAGTGGCCCAAGGTCACTCAGTAAGTGTTACAGCAGAGATTTGAACCCAGGCAGTCTGATGTACCAGAACCCAGCCTGTCTATGTAAGCGTTATGCACTTTCGTCTTCCAAACACTAGGTGTACACCTGACACCACCAGCCACTCAACGTGAGGCCCAGGCAGCTCCACCAGTCTGACAGGGATGGAACTGGGAGGAAGGGGTGCTCTTTGCTAACTAAGGTTGGGGGCAGGTAGGCTTGGCATTTACAACCTGGATAACGGGCCAAAGAACCATCTTCATTCCCAGGTGGAGCCGGCTGGATTGGAGGAGGTGATCACGGATGCTGTGGCTGGGCTGCCCCACGCTGTACGGGTCAGTGCCAGGGACTTTCTGGATGCTGGCACCTGGAGTGCCTGGAGTCCTGAGGCCTGGGGGACTCCAAGCACCGGTGAGAGACTGAGCCCAGGGCAGGGGCAGTGGGCCCTCCCACCGCATCTGTTGGCCGGACGGGTGTGCGAGTGGGCTGCATGCACATGTCCTGCCACTCAGGCATGGCCGTTGAGGTCCCAGTCTTCAGCCTTGGTTGTCCACAGCCCCGCCCCAGCTTAAGCCCTGCCCCTCAGCCTCCACCTCCGTTAGGCCCCCAGAAGCTGGCTCTACCCTTTCAGCTTCCACCTCCTGGGCACCCCGTGTCCAAGCCAGGCCCTGGCGTCCCCTGGCAGGCCCCGTCTTCCGCCCCCACCCCGTGTGGACAGGTCTCCTCAGGTCTCACCTCCCTTCAGGGCCCCTACCGGAAGAGATACCAGCTGGGGGACAGACACAGAAGCAGCTGGAGGAGGAGCCTCAGGCAGACAGCCCCGCTCCCCCCAGGCCCTCCCTCCTGCCAGACCCACGGCCACTTGGTAAGCTTGGGCAGGTGAACAAAGGTTGAATAGGACGGGAAAGCCCCGGAGAGAAAGGGTTTGGTCAGGCAGCCTCTCTCTCACAGTGGCATGCGACCCTCCCCCTCAGACCACAGAGACCCCCTGGAGCAGGTAGCAGTGCTGGCATCTCTGGGGATCTTCTCTTTCCTGGGACTGGCAGCTGGGGCCCTGGCACTGGGGCTCTGGTAAGTAACTGCCAAGGGCCCCTCAAATTCTGATCCCACACAGATGTTCTGATACCCACAGACCACACCCATTCCCGCCCTTCATGATTTCCCAGTGAAACTTTCTGATTCTGGAACAACCCCCTCCTCCTCCCTCCAACCCCCACTTCATTATTTTCACTGATTTCTCTCCTCACCATTTACTAATACACTGTTTTGGAGGAGACAGAGATGTAACAAATTGTCAGGGAGACAGCTACGTTTTTGTGCTCCAGGCTGAGACTGAGACCAGCTGGGAAGGATGGACCCCAAAAGCCTGGGTTCTTGGCTCCAGTGATTCCAGTGGACAAGCTTCCAGGTGAGTAGGACATCTAGGAGGTTTGGACTCAGGATGTGTACCCTCGTTTTGAGTGTCTGGATTAAGAGCCAGATGCTCTAGTCATTGTAAGGGTGTTGGGAATCAGAGTTGGGTCACCTCATTCATATGATGTCTGAGCTCAGGGATGGACCTTTCATTCTTGAGTCCTTGGGCTCAGAATTGGGTCTCTTTCCTTCTCTCACGTGGTATTGGGGTTCCTAGATGGGCCCCCCTCATTTTCAGGGTGTTAAGCTCAGAGCTGGATGTCTACCCTGATTCTTGGGCTGTCTTGGATCAGAGTTGGGTCCCCTCCCTTACTCTTGATGTATCTGGGCCCAGAACTAGGAATACTTCATCTTCAGGGTGTTGGGGTTCAATCAGAGCTGGGCTCCCCTATTCATTCCTGGTGTTGGGCTCAGAGCTGGGTCCCCTCCCTCATTCTCAGGGTGTCTGGGCCAAAATCTAGTCCTATTATCTCCCTTGATTTGCCTCCTGCTTCTTCTAGGAGCCCCAAACCTGTAGATGATCCAGGAGGGCTTCAGCTGATTCACCTATAATTCTGTCTTGCTGGTGTGGATGGACAGACAGATAGAACCCAGGCAGGCTAGTAGATCCCCATGGAGGCAGGAGGGCGGGGAGTGGTCTCAGCTGGAGGTTCTGTTTGGAGCCCAGTTCTGTCAGACTCTGTTCCAAACTTGCCAGCTGAAAGGTGCTGGACCTCTCATTTCATCTCAGAATTGGAGGTCCACCTGAGGAATGAGTGTAGATATGTATGTTTGTGTCCATGTGTGCCCATGTGTATGTGAGGTAGGGAACATGTGTTCTCTAACTGTATGCATGTAGGTGCTTGGGGGAGTATTTGTGGCTCCTTGGCACTTGGCCTTGCCCCTGGAGGGGTTTGTGAAGATGTGAATAAAGAGAATGAGGAGCTTCTTCTGTTTATTGACATGTCTCCCAGCTTCAGATTCAGGGCTCACAGGAGAATGCATAGAACTTGGAAACCACAGTCAGAGACCATTGTCCAATGCTGCTTTATTGTTTCGGCTACTGGGGGCCCTGGTCCATTTTCCCTGTCAGCCCCAAATTCAGGTTAGGCAGAGTGCCCTGGAGTCTCCTCCCTTGGCGCTCAAACCACCGAGCCAGGCTGCGGTTCTGAGGGTGGATGCAGACACTGCGTTGAGACAGGTGAAGCCTGGGAAAGGAAAGGTCCAAAGCCACAGTCATAGCGTGGGGATGAGGTTAGGGTCCAGGGGTTAGGGCAGAGGCTAGATGAAAACCTGAGTCAGCCTCAGAATTAGCAATTGGGGTTGGGGTTGGGATCAGCATCAGGGGTTGGGACTGAGGTCAGACTCAGGGGTCAGTATGAGGGGGAGGGTCAGAGCTCACACGAAGGCCTGGAGGTGACAGTCCCCATCAGCTTCCTGCACTTCCACCCGGATGACCCTTCTCAGTAGCTTGTTCGAGAGTGGCTGGCGGTAGAGCTGAGTACAGCAGGTAATGCTGGTTGGCAGTGGCAGGGCTAGGGGACAATGGGGCCATGTGTTCAGAGGGCTCCTGACCCAAAACCCTTCCATCAGACAGCTGGAGGATGGACTTCCTGGGTCCCTTTCCCTCCATCCCATTCACCCAAATCCCTGACCTTCTAGACCCCCAAGCACTCACCTGCTCCAGGGTCTGGGCTCAGCAGCAACAGGAGCAGCAGGAGGCTGCTTGTGGATGAGGGCCCCTTCATGCTGCTCAGCCTGGATACTTCTCTCTCCTCCTCCTCCCCTACCTTTTATCTGGGTGCCTTTTACCTGGGGCACCAGGTGAGTCAGAGGCAGGTGAAGATGTATTGCTCATCCTGTGACATTCCTGGGCCCTAATTGCCACAGACCCCTTCCTCTTCTAGGGCTGCCATTTCCCATGGCTTCTAAGCCCTGGACAGAGAAGCTGGAGAGAGGGGCAGGGCATGATGTGACGACTGATGGTACAGTGACTGAGTAAGGGCACCTAAGTATCCACAGTGGCATCCAATGATGGACATTCACACTCACATACCCACAGTCACATTCAGTCACACCTCAACCACTCACTCAGCCTTACACAGTCAGACAACCAAAGACAGAATCACATAGCCCCAGTTGTACTCAAAGTCCCACTCCCACGTAGTTGTGTCTTCACAATCATTCAATCACACAATCATATTGGCACACACAAATTCTGATAGGGGAATTGTGGGTGGGGTGGGAGCAGAGGGAAGGCCAGCACCAACTTGCCTTCATCTTCCCCTCCCTTACTTCCTGCCCTAGCCTGCCTGTCTTATCAGGAAAAACTGATGGGTATGGATCCCTAAAGCAAGCTCTTCTGGCTGAGGATGAGTCTTGGCTGGGACAGTCACATCCAGAGTGAGAAGCTGGGTGCTATTGGGGTACCTCTGGGATGCTGAGGTGGGGGCTGCTTTCCCCAGGGAGATGAGACAGGGAGGAAGGATGGGGTGGCTAAGGTGGGAAGATGAAAGAAGATAAAGTTCTTTGGTGCCAGGTTGCTGCTGTCAAACAGGAAAAAGAGCCAAGAAATCTTACCTTCCTGTTTTTGCCTGGTCCTGTCCCAGAAATGCCAGCCTCTTGCCAGCAGGGGCCTGGGGCTTCCAGAATCAATCCTGGCTTATTGAGACATCAGACTCAAGAGCTCAATTACCTCTCTTTTGTTCAAATTCCAGCCTTTCCCTGCTGTCCACCCAGGTCCGGTAATACACCCCCGACCCCCCACCCAACCCTTATACATTCTGCATCCCATCCTCTTGCTAAAGCCCCAACCTCTTCTCTCCTTCCTGTCTCTTGTCTCCGAAACCCATTCCCAGCCCCCACTCCCTTCTGCCCTTGCCCCCTAAAGCAAAACTCCTCCTCCTCCTCTTGTCCTTTCCAGGAAGCTGGGGACTGCCTATGGTGGGGGCAAGCCGCTAAGTGTAGTGCCTCTGGCACCTTGAAGAACTTCCCACTCCTGGTCTGGGGATTTCAATCCTCAAGTCTTGCTCTGTATTTGAAACATAAACTGAGTCATAACCCAGTAATCCAGACCTTATCTGGTTCTTGTAAGAGTGCCTTCTGCAGCCTTCTGCTCTGTGGCCAGCTATTCTCTAAGGGGCAGGCCTTCTCTTGGGATAGGGACTCAAACCTGTCCTGGGCACCTTTCTGCTGCAGGGCTGCTGAAACAATCAGGAGGGACCATCAGTTCCAAGAGTAAGAACTCGTCCCCCTCCCATGCTGAAAAACTCAAGCTTCTCCTCCTTCCTGTCCAGGGTGAGGCTTGAAGGCCCCTTCCTGGAGTTTGTCTTGTAGATACTCAGGAATTCTGACAGTGTCCTGGTGAGGTGTAGGCCCAGGGCTGCACAGGGCACTCCACTTTTGACAGGGTTCTTGATGTAGACATTCTGAGGAAATGGCTCAGGAGCCTGGGTCCGTTCTTGAAGGTGGCCACAACCCAGAGGTCACCCATCTTGAACTGCTAGTACCCAGAGGCCTTGGGTCTCTCTCCCACCCTCCAGTTTGGACTTGTGCCCCAGAGCTTGGGTGCAGCTCTTGGGGTGCCATTTACTTATCACAGATCTCCATCAGCTGGTTGTCTGCCACATACTTTGTGGTTTTTCCTGGACCAATTGGTCTAGATACCTGGAAAGGCAAGAAATGAATTCTTCCAGGTATGCACCCATCTCTCCCCTTTGGCTCTTCCAAAGATAGGGCCAAGTCTTCTCCCCAGCCACAATCTGCTGTGGTGGGGGCAGCCCCAGGCTGAAAGTTAGCTTTGCCCCAACCCATAAATTGGGTTGTCTCTTTAACTTAATCTTCGGATAACTTTTCTGGTGCTGGGCCTAGTCCTTTACTGAAAGCAGGCCCACTAGGAGTCCCTCACCCTCAGTACTTCAGGAGCTAGAGGGTTTCAGGTCAACTAGGGGAACAAGACAGGGGTGGCAGGGAGCCATGGCCTTTGGGTTCTCCTAGGGACAGAGCAAGAACTGCTACGTAAGCTGATGCCAAGTATCTTTAAACCTGAGAAAAGACTGGGGCAGCCAGAAGTTGTGGTATTAATTGTAGGAAAGACCTCCAACAGTCCCAAGTCACTCCACTGTGGCAGGCTGCGGGAGTCAGCCTCTAGGAATCTTCCCCTCCTCTCACAGCCTACTTCCTACAACTCTGGGCTTAAAATAGTTTAGATTCACTCTCAGAAGAAGATTCTCCAGACACCTGGCAAAGTCCTGTCTAGGAGGAAGGTGGAACACATCAATGTGGAGATAGGCTGGGAGGAAGACCGGGACAGGGCTACTTAGTTCCCGTCATACAGGCTATTTACAGCGAAGTGGGGGCGGGGGGGGTTAGGTGGCGGAGGGCAGTCAATGACAGTAATGGGACGCCTGATACTGATGAGGGATCCTTAGTAATAACGGGGGCCTGGATATGGAAGGGCACCCTATCAGGGAGGGAGGCCCTGTCAGTAACGAAAAGCAGGCGTGTAGAGGGGCTCCCAGCCCGAATGGCGGCAGCGGCGGCAGAGTCAGGAGGGCAGCACGGTGGCTTCGGTTTAAATCTTTAATGCACCGGCTGGCTGGGCAGTGGCGGTGGGGGTGCGGCGGGGGAGGCCGCGACCCGAGCGCTGGGGGGCAGGGCCCAGGCCGCTTGATAGACAGCTCATCAGGCCTCGTAGAGGCTCCAGCTTCTGCTCCCGGGGATGCGCCGAGCTGTGGGGCAACCCGACACTGGCATGAGGCAGGGAGGGGACTCCCGGATTCCCCCCATCCATCCTCCTGAGGCTGAGCCTCGTGTGCCCCGGGCGGGTCCGCGGTGTCGCAGCCCCCTCACCTCCTGTCCCTCCGCCACATGCGCAGCCAGGGGAAAAAGTAGAAGCAACCCCAGTAGATCCTGCGGAGAGAAGGCCGGGCCGGGCCGGGCGGGGCGGGGCTGACCCCACAGACTCCGCCGCTCAGACGCCTCGCCCCTCTCTTGAAGGCTCCGCCCCGCCCCTTAGAGGCGGTTCCCTCCGCAGCCCACGCCCCCTGAGGGGCCCCACGCCTCCCGCCCGCAGAGAACTCGCGCCCTCCCCCCACCCCGGAGCGGCTAGGTTCCTCCTCCGCAGAACCCGCCTCCACTCACTCCTCCTCCGCCTCCAGCGCCACCTCGTATCTCCTCAATCCCGACATGTCCTGGGCTCCGAACGTCTCCTGGGGAGCGGCATGATTGGATCAAGGATACCCCAACCCTAGGTCCCCTTCTCTGTCATTCTCGGGACCAGTCTGACCTGTTCTCAGGTAATCTGAGGCAGGTGCCCCCGGGAAGCCTCAATTGCCACTTTGGGACAGGGTAGGATTGAAGAATTGGGAGGCACCAGACGTTAAGGCTATAGGAGGTCGGTCACCTCGGGGGCCTGGGGCATTCAGGAGGTCAAGGCGAAAGGCTTTGCGGGCATGGACCTGGGATATTTGGGGCCCTGGGTGAGGATTTCGGGGGTTGGGATCACCTGGAGGGGGGCTGAGGGGTCGGTGCAGCCTAAACTCCCGCCCTCCCTGGCTCCACCCCGGAAACAGACCGTTACCGTTACGTCATAGGGACTCCGTCGCGCTCCAGGGGTGGGGCTTGCCTATTACCCGGAAGAGGCGAAGTTCGAGCGTTTCTTCTTCAGAGGAGGAGTCAAAGTGTCACGCTGGAGGTGGAGCCAGGGTCCATCTGTCACTAAAGGGGCGGAGTCAGGCCTTATTAAACTAGGATGCGGAAGGAGCACGGGACCCTCTTTTGTGGGGGTAGAGTCAGATTTTGGAGCTCTCTCCCTGGAAACCTCAGTCCCAGGCAGCAAGATAAGAGCTTTGGGACGTTATCCAGTACGGTTTTCCCAGTCTACTTTTCTTTGCCCTCTGCCCTGCTGCCACTTGTATGACTCTGGTCTGAGGAGGAATAGGTCTCCAGAGCGATCCTAGCCTAGATGGAGCAGACTACAGAAGTACTTGATGTGTGAGTGGATTTGGCCAAGTCACTTAATGGCCAGAGGGTCACAGCCCTTCCTCTCTGAGCTGAAATTTGTCTTCCTGTGATTTTTGTTCCCACAGTCATTCAATCAGCAAATATATCAGGCTAGGAATGGGTATACAGCAGTAGAGAAGCCAGATTATTACAGTAAACATAGCACACTGGTTGGAGGCAGTAGACGGTGCTGCAGTAGAGCCTAGAAAGCGCAATTAACCCAGTGTTGGAGGTTGGAAATAGCTGCCCCAGTTAGTCTGGGGAGGGAGGAAGAGAGCCTTCTGGCTGGATTGTAGGGGAGTGACCAGAAATAAGTGAAAGTTCCCTCAGGCTGAAGTGTGGCAAACGGGTACACTAACTACTCTTTCCCCCATCCCACCTTCTTTCTCCCTCTCATACCTCTCTTCCCTGCCTGGGCCACAAACAAGATTGCAGACAGATCTGTGGGTACAAGTTGAGCTTTATTGGAAGCATTGTGGTCTGGGTGTGGAGGAGAAGCTGCATTCCTGCTACACCACACTCACCCCTGCTCACACTCACACTCACACTCCAGGCCCTGTCCCGGCTGGGTCAGGTCTGGTGCAGAGCCACTGGAGGCCTGGTCCTCCCCCTTTTTTTTTTTTTTTCTGGTCCTCCCTTCTGATCCTTGGTTCCCCAGGGCTACAGTGACTCATATCCCTTCACTCAGACACAGGGCTTCCTCCAGGGCTGTCAGGGGCTAACTACCGTGGCGCTTGTTCTAGGGGAGGAAGGAGAGGCAGGGTCATGGGTTGGGGTCTTGGGCAGGGGCTCTGAGGGAGGAGGCAGGGCTGGGGAGGGCCGGGCTTGCCTTTGCAGAGTTCTTCTGCAGTCTCCGGATAATGCGGTCCACCCAGGGCTGGTCTGGAGGTGCACAGAGCTGGTTACCTCTCAACACAGTGAACCTGGAATCAGAAGGAATGGAACAGTCCTGGAACCCAGCTTCCTGGCAGGCCTTGGTGTGAAGAGCAGAAACTGAGGACCACGTCTGGAAACCTGTTTCAGGGGCTTCCTTGTGGGGAGGAGCTTGGCAAGGAAAAGGGAAGTAAGATGATGAGGCCCAGGTGACAGAGGAGGTGATTGGGAGAGGAAGAGACTGGTTACTCTTCACCCTCCCCCGCCAAGACAACAGTACCCTACAGCCATCAGTGAGAAGGAGATAGGAACAAAAAGGCACCAAAAATGTTCCTGGGAATTGGGTATTGGTTCACCAAGAGACGAAGTCCTCAGAGTTGTTAGCATCACTCAGAGGTGGGGGTGGGGTGGGTATAAGGGTTAGGGCTTGAGGGACTTTTGGGTGGGAAGACCACAGCCCTGACTAGAATTTAGGACGCCTATCCCCAGTGTCATAGCTTTAGTGTTCCTTTCCTTTCCATCCACGTACACTGTCCTCTTCTTCCTCTGGAAACCCAGGCTAAAGGAGATAGAGCCTCTAGAGAGAAGGGCAGCCAGAGGCCCCAGGACCCATCCGGGTACTGGCATATTCAGGAATAGCAGGGGCACAGGCTATATATATCACACGGGTGCGCACCTGGGACATGGGCACACCCACACCACCCAAGTCCATGTACAGATTGCACAGGAATGTGTATGATGCACAGGTATACTGACGCTACACAGGAACACAAGCGCAAGGGCACACCCATTTGGCACATGTACACTCTTGGACCTGGGTGTTGACCTGAACTCACAGTCTCCTTCACAGACTCCCTGATCCCTCCTCTGCCCTTCATGTTACCATTTTACCCCTTCCCCTTTCCAGGGGAGACCACGAAATCAGTATGCTGAGAAGAGGAGTGGTGCTGTGCAGGAGACCATGGAAGACGGAGAGAGATGGACAAATGGGTAGAATCTTTGGAAGCAGCAAGTGTGTGGGTTGCAGAAGTCCTGCTTGTGTGGAGTCTGCATGAGACTGTGAGGCTGGATGGCAGAGAGTGAGCGGAAGAGTGATGATGAGGGGGAGGGAGTCCATGGTGGTTCTGTGATGTGTATGTGAGCCTGTGTGAGGCTGTAGCTGTCTCTTGTTTATGGCCACCTGAAGCCTTCATTTTTTATATCCAGAAATTTCTTCCTTTCTGTTGTGTAATAAAGAATTTGACTGGTTTTTGTCCCTGATTTCTGAAAAGGAGACTTTAAATCTTTGAATTTCCCAAGTAATAGGAATGTCTTTGTTATTTATGAGCCCCTTGGATGGTCACACCTGAGTTTATGCTAAGAGATGAGATGACTTAGGATCATCTGGGGGATGGTCACAAGAAAAACCAACCATGTCACTGAATTGTCAGGGCTTTGAGCCTGCCCATCCTCTGGGAGTAGGAGGGGCACTGGAGATTGAGTTCAGCCAATTCAGTCATGCCTACATAATGAAATTTCAATAAAAACTCTGGACACCAGAGCTTGTGGAACTTCCTGGTTGGTGAACACATTGATGTGCCAGGAGGGTGATGTGCCTAATGGGGTTTAGAGCATGAAGCTCCGCATTTGAGACCTTCCCAGACTTTGCCCTGTGTGTCTTCATTTGGCTGTTCCTGATTTATATCCTTTATAAAAAACTGTAGGTATAGCACTCTCCTGACTCTCATGAGTCTTTCTAGTGAAATATTGAAGCTGAGGTGTCTTGGGAACTCCCTGGGCTTGTAGCCAGTTGGTCTAAAATGCACATGGCCTGGGAACCCCACAAATGGGGGCAGACATGTTGGGGACTGTGCCCTTAAACTTGTGGAGTCTGATGCTGAATGGTTAGTGTCTGAATTGAATTGGAGTACATGAGTTGGTAGGATAGCTTTCCAATGGATTTTTTTTTTTTTTAGATTTTATTTATTTATTTGACAGAGATAGAACTAGAGAGCACATTAAGCGGGCAGGGGGGTAGAATGGCAGAGAGGGAGAAGCAGACTCCTTGCTGAGCAGGGAGCCCGACGTGGGGCTCGATCCCAAGACCCTGGAATCATGACCTGAGCCAAAGGCAGTTGCCCACAACTGAGCCACCCAGGCGTCCCTCCATTGAATATTTTACCCACTGTCTCTAGAAGAAACTTCTGTCCCTTTCATAACTCCTTAATAGCCTTCCCACCCCCATTTCCCAGTCTTTATCTTTTAGCTCTGAGAATCTTAGTAAATCAGCAGTTTGGACAAGGCAAGGTGTGTGTAAGGGGGTGTTGGCACTGTCACCCTTAGGGGAACGTTTACAATGTCCTCTCCTGGAGGAATTTGAACAATCAGTCTCAAGGCTAGGGGTCAAGTCTTGGTTCCAGATTAGAGGTCAGAGTAAGGAGTACCTCTCTTTCCCAGGCTTCTCCTCACCTCAACTCTTCTTTGTGGTTCTAAGATACCTGGGAATGGTGGGGGGAGGCACCTGGGTGGCTCAGTCAGTTAAGCATCTGCCTTCGGCTTAGGTCATGGTCCCAGAGTCCTGGGATCGAGTCCCATGTCAGGCTCCCTGCTCAGTGGGAAGCCTGCTTCTCCCTCTGCCTATTGCTCCTCCTGCTTGTGCTCTCTCTCTCTGTCAAATAAATAAATAAAATCTTAAAAAAAAAAAAGATACCCGGGGATGGGAGGAGTGGGAAAAGTGGGAGCCAGCTGGTTCCCCAGATTCCCTAGAACAATGACAAGTAGCAAGATAAAACTGGAGAGGGTGGGGGCGCATGGGTGGCTCAGTTAAGCATGTGCCTTAGGCTCAGGTCATGATCCCGGGGTCCTGGAATCGAGCCCTGGATGGGTCGGGCTCTCTGCTCGTTGGGGAGTCTGTTCCCTCTGCCTCTGCTTCTACTCCTGCTCGTGTGTGTGCTCTCTTTCTCGCTCACTCAAGAAAAAGTCTTTAAAAAACAAAAAACTGGAGAAATTCCCTTCTCAGGTTCACCAAGTCTCCCTAGGCCCATGACAGTGCCTATGCATCTGTCATTTGAGACCTGGTCTTCCCTCAGACAAGTATCGCTAAAGGGAAAGTTTTCTGGAAGCAGATCCAATTCCTGTATCTCACATCTGAGGACTCTAGGGCTTCACCCTCCTGACCCAGCCAGCACTGACCCTTTCCCCTGTCGACCCATTTTCCTATGCCCCAAGCTGAGTCAGAGGAATAGCTTGAGGGGAACCTGGCCTAGAATACCCCTTCTACCATGCTTTCCCTATCGTGGGGATGGAGAGAGAATTTCTGAGCAGAGGGGCTGGTCAGCTTACAGAGACAAGGAAACTAGGTAGGAGGGAGGGGAGCAAGTGCTTTCCTCATCCGATAAGAGGCCCAAGAGACAGACCAGAGGAGGAGACCTCTCCTAAGAGACTAATTGTAGAGTGCTCCTCTGTTACCTTTTCCAGCCCTAGAGCATATGATGTGACAAACTTAACTGTGGACCCAGTTTTTTCTGCCTTCTCTATCTCCCATCCATGTGTCCATCCATGTCCACCCCTTTGTCTATCAGTCTATTCTTCCTTCTTCCATTTTCGTATCTTCATTTCCATTTGTTCATGCATATGTTCAACCATTTTAATCCAGTCATCATCTATTAATGCATTTATTCATCTATTAGTTATGTTAATAATATGTGTTGGTACTTGA